GCCTTTGGGAGGCCTAGTTGCTGCTGTTGCCATACAGGAAAAGAAAATCCAAAGCTGCAAAGATAGAATTATAGTAGGAACATGGAATGTTTGACTACACGAAAGCTCAGCACAGTGAAAGATGAAATGAAACAACTACAAATTGACATCTTAGGAATCAGCGAATTGAGATGGACTGGGACGGGACACTTTCAGTAAGAAGATCACACTGTTTATTACTCAGGTCATGAAAAACAAACAAGAAACGGTGATGCTTTTATAGTTAGGAAGGTTATAGCAAGAACAGTATTTGGCTACAATCCAATCATTGACCAAACAATATTGATTAGACTTTTGTGGACAACCTTTAATACGACGATCATTCAAGTTTATGCTCTAACCACCAATGCAGAAGAAGAGGAGGTTGATGAGTTTTATGATCAAGTCCAATTTGAAATGGACAGAACACATAAGCAAATGTGCTGCTTGTGATTGGAGACTGGAATGCCAAGCTAGAAACACGAAAGAAGAAAATGTAGTTGCACTGTATGGCTTAGGAAGCTGAAATGAAGCAGGAGACTGACTTACCAATTTCTGCCACTCCAATTATTTCTTCATTGCTAACACTGTCTTCAAACAACTAAAACAATGCCTCTATACAAGGACATTACCAGAGAGAGTATATAGAAATCAGATTGACTATATTATTTCTAAAAGGAGTTGGAGGAGCTCAATTACAATATCAAAGACATGGCCAGGTGCTGAGTGTGGAATAGATCACGAATTGCTCATGTGCATGCTCCAAGTTAAGCTAAAGAAAAAGAAGAAAGTCAGTCAGCTTCCACAATATGATCTTGAACATATAACCACCATTTTCTAGGAGAACATCAGGAATCACTTTGAAGTCCTGAACCTCTTTGATAGAGAACCAGAGGAATTAAGGAATGAACTTAAAGGAATTGTTAAGGATGAATGTGAAAAGAGACTGCCAAAAATGAAGACAGAGAAGAAAGCAAACTGGATGTCAGAACAAACCGTGGAAATGGCAAGAAGAGAAGAGAAGCCAAAACCAAGGAAAATAAAAATTTCAGAAAGGAACTTAACAAAGAGTTTCAGAGAGCTGTTAGAAGAGACAAGAAGCAGTATCACATCAACATCTGTAAAGACATTGAAGATGGAAACAGACATGAAAAAACAAGGAAAGTCCTTCAAAAGTTCTATGAACTCAGAAGGAGGTTCCAACCTCAAACTGGTATGCTAAAGGATGCCAGTGGACAGATATTAACTGATTCAAAGGAGATCAAAGGAAGATGAAGTAGTATACTGAAACACTCTACAGTAGAGATGTCAACATCCAAGATACCAAGATACACTATGCTGATGAAACTACCCTGATAGCCGAAAATTCAAAGGATCTGCAAGCCCTAGTACTAAAAGTCAAAGAACCCAGTGAAAAAAATGGGACTAAAATTAAATATAAAGAAGACAAAACTAACGACAACAGGTAGAACAACCAGTTTTAGAATTTACAATGAAGATATTGAAGTGGTGGATAGCTTCTGACTTTTATCAACAGTAAAGGAACAAGCGGTCAAGAAATACGCCACAGACTAGCACTCGGTAGAGCAGCCATGAAGACCCTGAAAAAGATATTCAGCTGCCATGATGTGTCTATATCTACAAAGATCAGAATGGTGCAAGCCATGGTATTCCCTGTGATACTCTATAGAAGTGAAAGTTGGACTTCACAGAAGCAGGATAGGAAGAGCATTGGCGCCTTTGAACTTTGGTGTTGGAGAAGACTCCTGAGAATACCGTAGACAGCCGAGAAAACAAACCAATGGATCACTGAACAAATCAATCCAGAGTTCTCACTCAAGGCACAAATGACCCAGCTCAAATTATCCTACTTTGGACACATTATGTGAAGACCCAGCTCTCTGGAAAAGGCTCTAATGCCGGGTCTTCACATAATGTGAAGAGAAGTGGATGACCAGCAGCAAGATGGATGGACTCAATTATGGTAGCAATTAGTGGGTAGCATTGGGAGACTTGAAAGAACAGGTTAGGGATAGATCAAAAATGATTTGATGGCACATAATCAATCAATCAGTCAAAATCAATTATTTAAAATACAATGCAAAAATTATGTCAGGTTTCTATACATGTGCCAGAGCACTAACTTTAATGGAGAAGAGAATTATACTGTTATAGTATGCAATAAGAAGAAAATGTGAAAGAGGGGGACTGCTCAAACAAACATTCTCCCACCTTCTCTGAGGCTCTCAGAGTCTTAAAAAGGCTATGGTTTAAGTAGAAGGGCACAATCACAGATGATTTCTGCAAGATACCTAAATAGTATACCTAGAAGCTCAAAATTAAGTTAGTTTTCTAAAAATTAAATAATTATATTTAATTCTTTTACAATTGCAGAAGTCTTACAAGACCAGCAATGTCATGAAATTTCATTGTAGTAATCTGAGATCTGCATTTCTCCAAAAACTGAGAGTGGTATGTGTTCTTCCCTCCCTCCCCGCCCCCCCCTTCCCCCATTTCTGTCCAGTTTATCTCTTTATACAAGGCTGGGTTTCCAGATTCCCACAGTCTTAGCCAAGCAGAATATAGGACAGAAGTCAGTGATTACAAGCTCACATATGTTCTTGTTATGAAAATCAGCAGCTCCAGGATAATCCCTGGAAATTGGGGAAAGTATTAGGAGGTAGCATGTAATCTTTTCCTCCCATCTCCTTTCCTAATGTAAATTATTTTCTCTTATTAAAGCTATTTTGAAGGGAAAATGAAATGAGGTGAGTACCTTCACAGAGTACCATTCCCCTGATCTTCAAAGTAACCCCCTACAGGCAATCTTTTGCCCTGCAAACATTTTGGGATATAGCTCCCATAATTTCTAATTATTGCCCATTTCTAGGGTATACGAATGTAAATGTAAATTAACTTGAAAGACCAAATCTACTGTACTAATACCAAATTTAGCAAGAAACCCTTAGTACTTTTGAATCAGTTTTGTCCAGGATGTAATAATGGATACATTTTTTCACCGACCTGCAAAGCAGCAATTCTAGAAGCAACTTGCAGCTTAAGAACTTATTTATTAAATTAAAGCCAACATCACATCAACTGGCCTAATTTTTGGACTTCTTTCTTCCTGTATCCCCAGCTTTTAGTCCCACCTTATATTATGAAGAATTCTGGGAACTCAGGAGCCTGCACATTTTTTCTGGCACTTTAGAGGTTAATGAATCTGGCAAGTTTCTTTTTCATTTTTAGGTTATTTTAAGGAATACAATTTTATTTATGACATGAAATAAGAGCCCCATACTTTTAGCATCTGATAAGCAACATTCCAGAAGAGGAAAGACATTTACTAATTTGGGACTGCAGCACATTTACTGTTATTATGTGTTAGCAGTTCAAACCTACAGCTGAAGTCACAAATAATATGGGGTTTCCATATCTTTTTCTACTAAAGCTAATAATAGAACATGATTGAATGTAATGTAATTCACTATGCCATATAAGCATTTATTCAAATAAGAACACTTAGTGTTCACACTTTTATAATTTTTCCATGCTTGTATAAGTGCTGTTTGTTTCAAGCATGTGAATGACATTTGCTTAACAAGTGATAAGTGGCAGTTATCATATTTCATTTCACATCCCAAAGCAAACACCTGTTTGATGCGCATTCTTTCCATTGATAGCTAAAATATTCAAAATGCAATTCTCTGCATGTTCAGTCAGTAGGAAATCATACTGAATTCCTAAATATAAGGATCAAAGCTTAAATATTCAGTGTTATCACAGTTTACAGGAAAGTACTGTATTGGATTCCATACATACACCTAAATGGAGATATATAATAAAATTAACAATATATATATATTGTTAATTTTATTTAAAGTAAATTCAGTTTATGATCTTGGATGTAGCTGTATAAGAATATTGGAGTGATGCAGTTTTAAATCACTTGCATTCTCAAATTATATTCCTGGCATGCTATGAAGTCAAAAACAAGCCAGAAGGGTAATGGAACCAATATATTTATTCAGGTCCAGACATTACTGTGCCAAAGTACCTTTAATCACATTCTCATATTTCTGACCTTGAGGGGGTCTTTTTCTTGCTTCTTCATCAACTTGCATTTATTTTTTAAATAAATAACTTTTTTATATACATTCCTCCTAAAATATACACATTTAATCCTTTCTCCTAATACTGTTATCTTTGCAAACTTTCCCTAATACAAATGTATTTGGAAAATGACTTTTTCCCCAATAAATGCTTTTTAATTGGCAAATTGTGCCACAAAATTCAGTAGTGCCAAAATCAAACTATTACCGTGTTCAGTATGCATATTGATTCAAGAAGTACAGTCTGATAAATTTATATCAAACATGCATTTCCCCCTCATCAGAATCACTTACATTTGAAATTTTTTCTCATTTGAAAGGCTTGACTCTTTTCAATGAGGTTGCCAATATGCACACACAAAGTAAACAGATACAGATTCCTCCCTTGAAATGAATGGTTATACATCCTTTAGATTTTAGATTGCAAGCCACCATTAAATGGTTTTTAACAATGAACAATACAATATAGAATACACGAATGGATAAATTATGCAAAATTATTGCTCATATGGTTTGGAACACTCACACTTGGAATTAATTGTTGTGTTGTAGCAAGAGTTTTTGGCTAATGAAAACATAATCCTTCAGTTTATTATTATTATTATTCTCAAGCCCTCTGTAGCAGGAATAAGATAACCCACAATGAATACATGTACTGAATTAAATAAAAACATAAAAATATTTATAATTTATAAAATATAATAATGTAAGTGTGAATTACTTTAAGCATACAAGCGTTCACTATACAATGTTAAAAGTTGAATTTGATTACTTCTCAATGCAGTATTTATAGTAAGCTTTACTTTTATGTTACCTATTCTAAATGCACCACTTCATCAACTTACAATGCTGATAAACAAACAAACATACCATGTTACACGAGGTACTGGCCAGCCTCTCACAGTGCAGTGCAACCTGACATTCTGTTTTTCCCAGACAGTATGTGAACGAGGTTTGATAACGAATTCAGGGGCATGTAACAGACTATCTTCATTTAACTTTCTGTGGAATTCTTGTGTCTCTGTTAACTATAAAACAAACACTTCACCTTAAAAAATCATCCTCCGGACATGCACTAGTGTCCTAAGAAATAAAACTTACCTTTGATCTAGACTACTATATAAAATACATTTGTCAAACATTCATAAATGTGATTCAATATGACTGTGATTTTCAATGTGCTACTTAAACTTTTTTTTCTTAAAGAACATGATCACAGGAAAAAATGAAAACATGTTTGCTTTCTCCAGCTTTAGACTTTGGCAGACCCAGAATAGGCTGCCTACCACTTCCTGAGTGCAGAAATGGATAATCTCCTCCTCCTCCTCCTCCTCCTCCTCCTCCTCCTCCATCTGAGCCAATTGCAAATGCATCCCATATCAGTGTTTTCCAGCTTTAATTCAAATGGATGTTTTCTAACCCAAGCCATTTTAGGACCTTCAGCATGGATGGTCTCCAGCATTTCATTCTAATCTAGATGCAGCCTTGGCTCCAACTGGCTGTGCTGCCTGGCAGGCCCCTTCCCCTTCAGTGGCTAATCACTACATTGTGCAGCTGTTACATTCTGGGCTGCTGGGCTGATATGTTCTTTCCTGATGGGCATCTGCCATTTTTAAAAATACTGTAATCTTACAGTTTATGATATAATGTTTACACTTTACAATGAACTATTCTTACCTCTAAAAGCTCATGCTCCATTTTCCAGCGGGTACCCTTTCATTTCTACCCAGTCTAGGCAAAGCATGCCCCCCTTACTTTCCAGGTCCTGCCCACAGCACTGTATTGCAAAGCTCCCCTTCCCTTCTGTCCTTTTTTAAAAAAAATATATTAAAGCTGCTTCTTTAGTTGCTGCTTTGTTTCTATGAAGCTGAGCTATCAGTTCTTCCTTATTGCAAAGCTTCCATGGGTCTACAGAAGAATGTAGGAATGAAAAAGCAACCTGTTTCCTGTTGTTTTCATTCTGGGGTGTCAGAGTTAGGACAGTACCATAAGGAAAAAAAGAAAAAAATAAAGGGTCTGGATTAGTGTAAAAGGAGATAATGTGGGAAGAGAGGGCATCCATGTGTGCAAGCAATTGGGAAAGCAAAGGAAAGGCACAGGGATGAGCAACTAGTGAAAAGGGAACAATCTCTAAAAGGAAGAGGCAGGCACTGGTGGACCAGTCCACACAGGAGCCAGTCAATGAGGTGTGCCTTCTCTGCATGGGTTGGAAGGGAAAGAAGCAGGGGAATGACCATTCGGGTCTTGCAGTGGCCATGGTTTGGACTGAGCACAAGCCCAACTCTATTCCCAACTCACGGCAATTTGACAAGTATTCCTGAAGTTGGCTTAAGAAACAGCTGAGAGTAGCATGGGAAACAAGCAGTTGAGGTTGCAGGGCAAAATTGTCCTTCCTCTTCTCAGAGCAGAAATCCTAATACTGCTTTTGCATTTATATGTTGAAAGACTGAAAGGAAATAATGAGCCCAAGTAAAAGAGGAATGTGACTTTTCCCATGTGAAACTACTGAAATATTAGTATCTAATATTGGAAACTTGTTCCTCCCAACATTAGCCCCCAGGATCCCTTCTGATGTTACACGAAGAGAAAAAGGGGAGTGTTAGAAATTGGCCAGACCATGTGCCAGCTGGGACAATAGAGCTGCTGGTTGCAAAATCCTTTCAGTATGCTCATTCACACTCCAAACCAACATACAATCTACAGCAGTTCTGGAGCTGGCACTGATTTATTTATTGGCTTCCACAACATTCCTTTTATTTAAACGAGTACTGGGGATGGGAAACTGATCCTTCTACATTCTTGCCCTTCAACAGGAGCCAAGAAAGATGCTGGAGTTCTTGTTCTCTGACAAAACAGATAGGATTACTCTGCCCAATCCTTATACACCTATAATTCTATCATTTTTATCGGTAGAGGAAATAGGAAGAAGAGCTGAAGAATGTATTCTACTTCATATTTAGATGCTGAAATCCTGCCAAATGTTTTTAAGTCCTCATGGTTCAGAAAGAAAATGAAGAATGTTTTATTTTTTTCCACTGAAATCAAAGAGAAACACAAGAACAAACAATGGTTTGCCTAAGTGTGGTATCATGTCCTGTGTTTTGATATTTTTTAACAACAGTAACAAGAACCAATGCCCCACATCATTAACATGTTAATGAAAGAATGACTTAATACCGTTTTCTTTAAAGCCATTTTTTCAGCTGTCTCCCGTATTGCTACTTTTCTTGATTTTTTCTCATGTTTTTCTTCTTCTACAGAAGAGGAAATTTTCTTTTTGGTTGCAGTAATCCCTTCCCCAGATGCAAAAAGGTTCCTTCTGGCAATATAAGCAGCACTTTCCTTAATTCTTTCTTCTTCTGTATCTGTAATTCCACTGACATAGTTTTCTCTGCAATAATTAAAAAAAAAAACATCCATAGCATAGTGGAAAACAAGGCATTTTTTGTTAATATTAATGTATCAAGGCAATGAACTTTCTACATCAGCCTTTCCTAATTTGTGCTGTAGATATAAGACTTAGGCAAGATGGTTGTGGATGATACAAATTTTAGTCCAACATGTCTGGATAACAGTATGGTGGAGAAGCTGTTCTACATGATTTTCTTGAAAAACATTAGTAATCATCAGTCTTATTGTTGCTTTAGCTTAAGAAGATAAAGGTAAATATGGGAAGATACCAACACACATACAAGATATCAGTGTTATGACTTTCTACTGTATATCAAACGAGTCAATTCTTTTTTAAAACATTATAGCTATTATTCTTTTACATCTGGTGTACATATATTTCAGTGTCAAAATAGTATACTTCCACAATATAAATAGTAATGAAGACTAAATTTTGGATGCAGCAAGCTATTGCCTAGAAAGATGGCACCTGGCATTGGAAAAAGCAACAGTAATAGACTATTTATTTAGCTTTTCAGTCAGCAGCTGCAGTTATTGAGCATAAGCAATTCTTCACATGTAATGATCTATCTGTTGTGTTCTTTTCATATTTTATCAATATTTTTAACACAAATGCCAATTCATTGAAATATGCTGGTGAATGTTATGGTCAAATCCATATTTACAATTTATCAGTATATATTTGAGAGATATACTCACTCTGAATATCAAAGTTATGAAATGGGCTAGCCATATAATTCTAAAAATTAATTCAAAACATTGAGCAATTAGAAAGGGTACAGAAAGCATTCCTGAGATGGAGTGCCAATTGTCTAGGTTGATCCTGAATCAATCGTTAATGATATTAATCTTCAATCAGAGAGTTTAGAATAGCAGATTTACATATAAAGACAGATAACTGATTGACACCTTTGGAATATTAATACAGTAATATTTATACTTTCAGATGATGCCATTCAGTAACTCTTGTGCTAGCTAGGGATTATGTACACTTAAATCCAAAATACCTCTGAAGGTCACCAATTTGGGAACGGTTTCTTTCAGAACACCCACAAATCAAATAATAATAAATGTCAAATATTATAATTTGTGAAATGTTAATAATCCAGCCATAGGAGTGGGAAAAGAATTGCAGTAAAATCAGTAGAAATCAGAATGAATAAATTTGACTAGATCATGCTAAGGGCTGTTTTTATACCATGTTCACCATGCAAAACATTTTAAAACCATTGTTTCACCGTACTTTATTTACATTTTTGGCTTGCTTTATCATGGAAAAATGAGATTAAATTGTAGCTTTATACCTTATTTTCAGAAATAAGTTTTGTGGGACTAACTGCATTCAGTTTTGTGAGACTAACTGCAAACCAAGGGTATACAAGACAGCAGTCTAAAAGTGGATGACTTGCATAAGAGCATTCTATCAGAATATTCCTAAATTAGCTTTGGAATCCAATTACTGCAGGTCCAAATCTAACTTTATCAGTTGGCTGGCAACCAATACAATAAATGTATCAGCTCCCTAGAAGGAATTTGATTTCTTTTTTAACCCTATGACCTCTCTCTAGCAAATCATGTCACAATGGAAAGATGCAAACTGATCTAGTTAATAATGTATATATGGTTTGCAAGTATAACATGAATCTGAGTTGTTTCCTTCAGATAATAAATAGGTGGCAGTGGTATCACACAGCCCATTGTTTTCTGGCATAAAGGATGGACTTTCCAATAGCAAGCTCAATTAGACTTATTATGGGTCAAATTAGCTTTTTATCCCTTTAAGAAAAACTGACAGAGACTAAATTGACAGGATTTATATATTACCATATATATATATATATATGTTATATATTACCATATTTGCTTTATATGATAACATTTAAAGTAAATTCTGTAAGCTCAATCTAAAAACACTTGTTAAAAGAAATTACCAATGTTGGAAAATAGCAACAAGTATATCCAAACTAAAATCATACTGTCAGGTAAGTGTTGAAAAAACTACGATGCTGGCATTGCATGTAAAACAGACCTTGAACGTTTTAAAAACCATTTCCCTGTTTCTTACAATATGAACTGAACAAATTAAAATAATTTTGAAAAACCTGTTTGTTGCTCTGGTAGCTTTAAACAGTAAATAATAATTGGTTTTTGTTCACCTAGTCTTGGATACTATTGCAATAGTTTCTTACTCAATTATATACAATAAAAAGTTAGAACAAATTAATCAGGAATGCAGTATATATGTGTGCACGTATGAGAGAGCAAAAGACAGCTTTTTTTGTCTTGTCATGAATATACTGGTTTAACATAATTTTAAATTGAACAGACAGGAAACAGATCTTTTCTGGCCTAAATTAGAACTCTGGAGTATCTGCATCCATTTTAAGAAGAAACTTTTTCCTGAAAATTTCATTATAAAACAATGAAAATTTGGTCATACTGCTTATTAAAGAATTCACGATTTCAGTAGCAATTTCGACTACTAGAAATTATAGCCTCCTCTGTAACTTTCACACCCACCAATCTTAGTTTTTAATTTGGTTCTATGTAAAAATTCTTAAATTCAAGTTCAAATTCACTACAACTCAAATGTATCTTATCATGTGTTTATATTGATGGAGGACTCAATTTTTCTATTAAAAATATCACAGAAAATGCAAAGCAGTGAGATACTTGAAATACAGTATTTTTAGTGCAGGTTATCTTTCCTTCTATTTTCTCCACATCATTGATTCCTTTGCTTTTCAGTTATTCGCACATAGGATGTAATCCAATAAACAGTTTCTTAAGAATAAAGTGTCATTGAGTATACTGAGACTTACATCAGAGGAATCATACATAGGACTGCACTATTGGTAGGTAATCTCAGGCAGATTATATTGTCAATCAACCTCAGCATCTATGATATGTACAATAGAAAGACTCATTAGGAATTTCACTATATGGTTAAATTTAGCAATGAAGCCATTAAAAAGCTGTAAAGAAATATTCTCTCCCTCTTTATATCAGTCATTTTTGTCCCATTTACAAAACAGCAGTAAAGAGACATACCTTCCGGTGAACACAGGTACCACATAGTCAACAACAGATGTGTTTTCTTTTTCTTCTGACAATACACTTTTCTTTGCTCTCTTTGCTTTAGGACTCAACTTTAGAGTATGATCTTCTACCAGACTTCTGAAAGAAAAGTCGTATCATTAGATTTCTGAAGACATCTGCCCTAACATTATCTACTGTGATGTAAGTTGAACATAGTGGAAGTAGAAGGTGCCAGAAGGCATTGATAGTCTTTAAATCAGCAATATACATTTCAATCCCATGCCCAGGTTGCTTTTTCCAGGCAGCTATACAACATGCAAACAATCCTGAACTCATATCTCATGAAGTTCAGTGTTCTTATTCCCATTTTATAGGCTAACGTATCTGAGCTTCAAAACTCCAGATCACTAGCTTATGGTATTTCTTTGCTGACATTTAGAAGAAGTCTGGACTTTTGCAGCTCAGATTTAATGCAACTACTATGTTAACTGTGTTTAGAATTTGTAGCCTTAATTACTGTCCTTCCTACTTTCTAGATTCAATATTATTTTTTACCCACATTTGTATATGTCACCTACTTCTTGTGCCATTCTCTCACACAATTTTATTGATGTGTTCAAAAGCACACTGCTGCTTAGACCTTTCTTATGATAAATAAGGCATGAATTCTTGCCTCAAGTTGACAATAATAAACCAGAATCAAGCACAAGCCACACAAATGCATAATTGGGAAGGCACATTGTAAAACAGAAAATGAAAAATACAATATAGCATTAAAGTGTGCAAGGAAAGAAAACACTGCAACACTAGGTACAGTCAATATAATACCTTCCTTACTCTTGCTCATTATACAAAATACATAATTGTACAAAAAGGAAAAATGTCATCAGTAGGGAAAAGCACTGGTCTTAGTAAAAATTATTTATTTTAATACTTGTTTATAGATTAGGTGCTTTTCCCTCAGAATTTTAGCCAATGCAGTTCCAATGATTTGCTGAAACAGTTGATCATTTTTCATTATTTATATCAACTAGATCCTACAATTTCCCCAAGGACTTCATGACAGTGCACTCTCTCCTGTTTCATTTTATCCTCACAATATTATTTCTCTCATCCTATTTTCCTGAGGCACTTTGAAAGTGATTACTCTAACGTCAATCTATGACTAGTGGAATCTCAACTTTCTGCAGCAACTGTTCAAAGAAGAAAGAGAGGAACGCGTATGTGTGTATTTGTGTGTAAAGGAGAGGGAGAAATAAAAAGGTGCCCTCTACTATTGGCATGTCATGCAGCCCCTATACAGATTACTTCCATTTCCACAGGATTCTATAACAGGAATCTGTTTTACTTATTCAGAATTATACAATGATTCTTTCCTGTAAGCATGAAGATTGTTAAAAGACCTTGAGAATATAGCCACAAAGAATGTGCTGAATTTGGTAAAATTGAAATGATAATTTTTTAAAAATCCTGAACCAGGTTTGCATACTTGACATTTTCTATTCTCTAGGTTATTCTCACTCAGCATATTGCCCTCCAGATGTTTCTGACTTCAATCCCAATGATCATCCTTGACTTGGAATTCAACACATTTGGAAAATGCACTTACAGAATTTTGACAAGACAATTAAATGTCTTTTCAATTTAATGATAGTGTAGATATCTAACAAAGAACTACGAATGATGCTCTTCAAATATCTTCATGAACTTGCACTTCTCAGCTACTTCATTGGTCTGTACCTGTCATATAAATGTTATGAAAGATCAATTCCACTGTGCTACTACTCATTTCTTATGGCCAATTCAGTATGGAAGTATATTCCTTTAAATATTTAGCTAGACTCCTACTGGCCTTGCTGTGCCAAATTTTGAAAACTCCTTTTTTCATTCCCCTTGTAATGTACAGTCCTTTGGCTTCCTTGTTTCTTCCTATGCTTCAGCTGGTTTGTATTCTTTTTCTCTCTTCTGATCACTGTCCCACAGAGTTTCCTTTTTTCCCCCCCCAAACTGTCAGTTTAAATTGAGCAGTCAGTTTTGGGATTTCCAAAGTAAAGCAGTATGTTTTCATGACCAACCAGATTTCTCACATTTTAGAATCTTAGATAAGAATCTTAGATATTTTTGCCCCATATAAAAACTGCTACTGCAGATTTTATATGAGGCAAAAATATGGAAGTCCTATAAATAATCTGATCCGGAAACCATCCAGAACAGAATTTTGAAAATTTTAGAGACTCTCAGATAATTATATCATTACCTGGAAATTGAAATCAAGTTATCAGTGAAGATGGAGACTTATTTATATATTTTATAAATATATAAATATAAATAAAGTGCATATTTGAAAATAGAAGTTTATTTGGACTTTGTCTGAACATGCAAATTAAATTTAATATTGTTAATCAAACTTCCAACAAAAAATTAAGTAGCTGCTTTGTAAATATTTCTTGTAGAATTATGGCAGAGGGTACAAATTTTTTAAAAAGCAGCATTGGCATACGCAAAGAGGGGCAAGTGATGAAACATACACTGAAGAGTTGCAACCCATGTATGAAAAAGCAAAACTTTTGTTCTGATGCCAAGCTGCATGATTTATTGTTCTGTTGGTATAGTGTTTAAAAATGAATGCCTATGAAATGCAGCTATAAGATGTACATATCTTATGTGATTGACCTCCAGAATTAGCTTTGAACCTGTGTCATCAACATCAGAACAGATTTATTTTTGGCTTAGCTATAGTGCATTTAAAACCATAGTAAACTCATATTTTCCTCAAAGTACAGAGCCTTGATAAGTATTTTCTTTGAAATGCTGCAGTTTCAGCCACTTTGGGCAGGTTTTCAATGAGAAAGGTGCTTTGATGGCTTTGCGGCTCTCGTTTCATAGGAATCACGCATATCTTTTGCACATAAACTGGCAAATGTGCATAACATGAAAGAAGTGACTGGGAGGGCAGGATGTGCGCAAGCAGTTTATTCTATTTCTGCTTTGCATGGAACTGGGCGGTGAGGTGTTGTTTTTAGTGGAGGCTTAGGGGTAAGGCAATTGTTAAATGACATTCCTTGAGCCCCGTTCTCAGCATTTCAGGATCAGCAGAAGTGAAGACTATCATAGATTAAAGTGTTCTTGATGGTTTTTGGAATAGAAACAGTGGTAGAGTAGACAGTATCAGCTTGAGGGTACATGATGCCCCTAGGACACGTCCTGCCAATGCAAAGATTTTCATTTTTATAATGATTCAGAAGGAGTGTTGCCCCCTGTGTTTGATACCCTAGGCCAGTGTCTGTCTGTCTGTCTGTCTGTCTATGTATTTATTTATCACATTTATATAGCCACCAAGCCTACAAGCCTAAAGCCAGCCCTGAGCATAGATGTATCTTGAATTATTTCTTAAGAGGCTCTCAAAATTCTCAACTTACAAGAGAAATATATATAAAACATGAGCAACTTGCAGAAGTAGATTCTGGCTATCATTTCTGTGCCACAATACACAGTCTGGACAGAGAGTGAAATTTACAGGGTAGAAACAACAGCCAAGGGTTTATATTCTGCTCCACTTTTTTAGAGCTTAAGGATCAACATTTGGTTGAGCCAAAAAAAGCGAACCCTGAACCTGCGGGAAAAACACTAGAAGGAAAAAAGTGAATGGTCTGATAGAGATTTGGTGTACGCTGTAATCAGCAATGGTTATAATATAGTCATATTAAAGTATTTAGATATGTTTCCAACTCTTTATATTAAGATTCTTATATTGCAATACTTCCCTTTCGAGGCTTCTGTCCAGCATCACAGATGGAGTATCCACTCTACTTATAAACTACATAGTTAGATTAATTTGCATTACAGTACTAGCATTACAGTACTGGTATAGGAATACTCAAAACAAGTGTAGTGGCTTAAAAAATATAAAGAAGCCAAGCTTTCAGTGAACTAGTTCTTTTGCATTACAGAGGTAAACTAGTTCTTTTGCACTACAGTATACTGAAAAATTGGATACAGTATAATAAGTTCTTTCTTCTTTAATTTCCACCATGTTTCTGAAGACAAAAATTTAAAGTATACCACTGTCTCAAGCCTACATTTGCATATAATCTGGGGGTTCTCCTGGACTCCCAACTCCTGCTCAAGGAACAGGTGGCAGTTGTGGCCAGGAGGGCCTTTGCGCCACTGCAGGTTGTGCACCAGTTACACCCTTTCCTGGACCAACAGGCCCTGCTCACAGTCACCCACGCCCTAGTCGCCTCCCACTACTCTAATGCGCTCTGCATGGGGCTGCCCTTGAAAAGTATCTGGAAGCTTCAGTTGGTTCAGAATGCAGTGGCCTGCATAGTTTTATGCAAGCCTAGATTTGCACACATTTCACCTCTCTTGTGGGAGCTGCATTGGCTGCTGATTTCCGGGTCCAATTCAAGGTGCTGGTTGTCACCTTTAAAGCCCTACATGGCTTGGGGCCAAGTTATTTGAAGGACCACCTTTTCCCAGTTTTATCTGCCTGACCCACCAGATCAGGGAGGCAGGATATGTTACATGTCCCCCCTATTAAGGAAGTCCATCTAGTGGGACCGAGAAGAAGGGCCTTCTATGTGGTGGCTCCCTCCCTGTGGAACATCATCCCCAAAGAGATAAGACTGGCCCTCTTGACCCTCTTCCACAAGCCGCTGAAGACATGGTTTTGTCAGCAGGCCTGGGGATCCCAGGTCAACCTGAAGCCCATCAAATGGCTAGTATAAATGTATTGTTGTCACTAGGGGAGTGGGGGGGGGGGAAGAGGGGGTTTAGTATTGGGATTTTTATTTTTGTAAGCTGCACGGAGTCACCGTGAGTGGATTGGGTGGCCATATAAATTGCTTAAATGAATAAATAAATAAAGTGAAAACCATGTCATTGTTCATATTTACATTTCAGTTTCTAATCTACCTCTACCCAAACTTCTATCTGGGTCAAACATGCAATCACTATAATAATTTTTATAGCTCTAATTATAAAGGAAATGATTGTTTTGTGAATCTAGATTTCCACAGGTAAACTGAGATTACTGAAATATATTTACCCAGAAGTCTTACTTTTTAAGGATGCCTAGGTTAGTGTAACATTGCATCCTTAACATTACACAATATTTTCTCAAAAGGATAAGCATGAAAGTGCAACTATTTTGAACCAGGACAGCTGGTTTAAAAAATGTGTTTCTCCAGACAAGGATGAAACGGTACTATTCCTGTCAATCCCTGAAAACATGGAATCTACCTGAAAGTAAAATATAAACTATGTTGGGGCTGGAAAAATACACATATGAAAGCTGCCAAATGTTATGAAACAGCTCTCCTTGAAATCAGAGAGCAATGAAAGATACTTCTCTGGGGAAATATTGTTCTACATACTAAAGAAGAACCTTAGCTGCATATCCACAGCTGATGAATAAGATTTTGGAACCTGTTTTTGAAAATTGAGAAACGTAACAATAATCTTTTCACCCTTAATGATTCAGATATAAGGTATTATTAATGATTTCAGTAATGTCCTGATGAATAGCCCTGGCAATCTTCTTCAGTAAACTGGGGACAAATTTGTTGGTCCTTAAACACTGTTCAATTCATCACATCACAACAATTGTTTATGGGAGGTTTTCATTAGTTTATAAGGTTGTTATTCAGATTTTAAAAAATTAAATTCTGGATCCACTGTGTATTTTTTCTTTTGAATTTTTAAATTTTTCTTGTGTGTTCTATTTTAATTTGAATTTCTAACTTATGATTAATCCTACCAAGGAGTAGAGATTCAGCTTCCATGGAAATCAGTAAAACAAGTTACTCATGACTGAAGTTCCATTGATTTAAATAGTGAGCCAAGAGTTGTCCTCCAGCTACGCTATCATCTTTCTAGGCTTAGGAAATGTATGGGGCTGGAGACATTCTAAGGAAAGGAGAGGAAAGGAATAGCATACTGTACGTGGACAAGCCAGATATTTAAATAAATGTGTTTTTAAAAAATGTGGGGTGGGGAGGATCCTGTTACTCCCAATAAGCTCAGGGGTCTGGAAAAGGCACTCAGGATATAGTATCATTGGATATTTTGTTAAGTATTAATGTATTATTATTTGATTGCACTTTAATAAGGCAAATAAAGCTTTCGTAGTCCAGACACAATTGGTCCTCTTTTCTTAGTTTATCCAGAAAGTGATTTGCGTATTTGTACTGAACTCTCATTCTATTAAACATATATTCTGTAGAATTTGCTAATGTAGGAGACAGTGTTTTGGAGGGAAAATGGCAGCCTCAAAGCCAATCTTTGTCTTGCACTGAGCTTCTTGGAGATCTTCCTGTTCTTTTGAAACTAGGTACTTCTCTATGGCAGCCACTTTTGGACAAGCCAGAAAGCAATGGCAGCAGACTTGTAATACTAGCAACGGATGACTTGCTCCTACAAGATAAAGCACCATAGCAGCAAATGTAGCCACAGGCCTCTAAAAGTTAGAAACCATTGCTTTACACATCAGCTACTCACCACATTATAAAAGCTATCAAGTCAAGCAATTTAAAACACTCACCATGAGGCAGCTGAAAAATGTAAACTGCTTCTAAGCCTACAGGACAAACTAATTAGGAGTCAAATGTCTAAATTCCCCCCACTCCCCTTTCTCTACATCTCAGCTGATGACTAAAGACATAGTTCATGACATAAAAAAGGAACTTCTTCAGGTTACATTCAGTCTGCTGAACTGGGGTTCCCCCTCTGGCCAAAGTACAGAAACATTAGAATATTTGGCCATAGATTATGATCAGGAAATTATTGTAAGAGCCCAGACTAACACTTTTTAAATGAATTTTGACATTACAGAAGAAAATAAACATTTCTACAAGATGGTAAAAAAGTGCAAAAAAAAAAAAAAAGACAGCAAGGACTAATTATAATTCTTGGACTTCAAGTAAGGCATTTATCTTCCTTTCCTTCTTGACACATAATCTTATAAACTGAACTAGCCAAGAATTCTTGTTCTTAAATAATCCATCTGAGCTTTGGGCATTTACCATTAAAACTATTTTCTGAAGCTGAAATAACACAGCCAGCTGAATAATGAATGCAATCATACTTTCATCAGTATCAGTAATCCAATTATACTGGTCACATACTGGGCTCACACACCAGCCTAAATCCATCTAACAGATAAATTAATCACTTCAGGGGGAAAAAAAAATCTCTCTTCTAAATCTGCTGAGAGATTGAACACTTGCACTGCACTTCCTTATTGTATTGGATTTCAACTGCTAATGCCAAATTATCAGAATGAAGTATGAACTCAATTAACAATACAAAACCATTTGTCTTTCTTCAACCTCAGATACCAGAATACTGCAGTTACTGACAGGTGATGTAATTCAAACGTTCCTTAAGATAAATGGGTTCTTTTCATTTGTATTTATTTGGCAACATCTATAGATTATCTTTACTTCAATTTCTCTGACTATAACATTATAGAAATAAATCACAGTGCTAAAATGTGAATTCAAAGCCAAAAAAAGCATAACAAAACAAGTATATCTAACAGTCAGGAAAAACAGCAGTGGGATTATGAATTTGAGCTAGAATCAAGCAGAAAGTTAAGCAGAAAGTTTCTTCTCCAGCTATTTTATTTGTAATCAAATATTTGATTAAATTACTTTTCCACCCAGGGGAAGGATCATAACCTTTCTTTCCATAGGCAGAAAAGCAGCTGTGATGAGTGTTCTCAATGACGGAAAAAAATGGCTGAGAAGAGAAGTGTTGAGTGGCTTTTCTCCATTGCCCCAGTCAAATCCACAAACTAGCATGACTAGTAAAAGTGTGGTCAACAATTTGTTTTATGACTGATAATGTGACATCCATTGTAATCTACCACAAGACACATAAATGGTTTTACAAACCAGGTTAACATTTAAGGTATACACAAATGGAAAGAAGCATTTTGTAAAAAGGTAATCTGAGAAATTTTATTGTCCCAACAAATATTTATGATCACAAAATTTGATCCTGAGGGAATGAAAATGGATGGGAAACTACCACACTACATAAAATTGTGTTTTACTCTACCCGTAACTGTATGGATCATATCCAAGACGATACGCTTCAGCTTTCTTATTGACCAATTCAGATCCAAGACGATGTGCTTCAGCTTTCTTACTGACCAAATCAGATTCTAGACTATAAACTGCAGATCGTTTACTGTGACCTGCAGATTTGTGGGCAAGGCTTTCCATTAATTCTTGGCTGGCTGCTGTAGACTTTTCATCAGAAAAAGCTGACTCATGACGGTAGGCTGATGCTCCTTTGTGACTGTAGGCAGCAGAACCATGTGTATAAATGGCAGATTGGCGCTTTTCTTCTTTCTGGTATTGACTTAGTGTGGATTCTAGCTCTTTGTGACGATAAGCTCGGTCGAAATGCTGATGATGCCTCTGGTAGAATGGTAAAGACATTTTGGAATTCTCCTAATTCAATTCACACTTTGGATAAACTGTCAAAAGAAAAAAAACACTAGTTAGTTGTTATTCTCAATTCTCCTATGTTTTATGTTTTCGTAAACATAAAAAACGCATCAGATGAATACTTCTCTTCTTCATGAACTTATCCATAAAGAAATCTGCTACTAAGATATAATTAGCATAAAAAACATTAACAATATTATAAAATATGAAAGTTGAGGAACAAAATACTCACAGGGATGTAAATAAAATTTAGAATGTGCACAAATCACGTCCAGTTCCATGAAACATATTTTTCATTTGATATTTATGAGCACAAGCATATTTCTAAAAAATGTAGTTTTCATAGAACCCCTTTCTATGAAAAAACTGATAGTGGACACAGGTTAAAAAGAAAACAAAATATCCATTTAATCTAATGTAAAATCCTTTAAATTTAAGCTTAACATTAAAAATAAAATAGTGGCTCCCATAAAGATATTTTTTCCTCTGATTAGCTCTTATAAAACAAAGAAGCAGGATGGGAATCTGTAATTGTTCTAAATCTTAATATATCTTTGTCAGTTAGGAAAAAGGTGTAGTTTACATTTTAAAATAGTTACCATTCTAATTTTGAAACTGCATTTTCAAAACTGAGATTTCAAAAAATTTTTATGTTTAACCATCTCATGCTATTATATCTGAAAAATCAAAAATACAATCCATATTTCAGATCCTTACACTTGCAAACTGAACAACTTTGCAATACAACTGATACAATATATAAATTTGTACAACATATCATGATTTATTTATCATTTTTGTAACTGCTGGTTCTGTTATGGCATTAATCCATATTGAGGGAAAGTAATAGTCTATTCTTATTCGTTGGTCTCAAGAGCTAAAGATCTAAACAATTATGATTTTGTTCAAGAGCCATCTGTTGACTCCAACATAAAATGTCACCCCACCCATTTTTAAGCCTCTTGAGCTACATTTTCCCAGTGTTTGCTCATGCTTGTGGACTATTGCTTAAAAATACTATTCACTCTATGCATTGTAATTAGGTTTACCTTATGTAATAGGTCTGTGAGAAAGGATTTCAAAACATCTTTGTACAATTTAATGGACATTCAGAAATGCATGTATGGCAAAAAATTTAAAAACACAGATTTTTTTTAAAAAATAAAGTATTAATAATATAATTCTTCAAATAGTAGAAACTATCTGAGGAACTGCCTATCCTGTTATAAACCTATCCAGTTGGAAGAGGCCCTTTTGAAGATGCTCTGCTGTCCTTTCTGATATGGAAATATGGGCCTTTTCTTACATTGTTCCTGGTTTGTGAAACACACATTCTAGGGAGTTTCTTTGACCTACTCTCTTTAGTTTTTTAGGAAAAATATAGAGATACCTCTTTCATTAGGCATTTAACTGTTAGATGAGTTTAATATTTATGTTGTTAATTTTAGTTTATTATTTTTATTTTTTAAAAAAAATTGTGAGTTTTATTTGAATAAAGAAACAATTACTGGTTACATAGGTACATTCACCAAAACATATATAGAAAATATCTGTGCTACCAAGGTATTGTAAAAGTTCTTATATTTGAATGGATGAAAATGAAATGCATTTTTAAAGTATATTGAAATCTCTTTATATAAGAAAATATTAGCACTTTGGTTGATAATCTGAAAAAAAAATTGAAATACTAGCCCATAATATGCACAAAACCAAAAGTGCAGCGCATACTTGTTGCCCAGCAACCCTTTTTATTATAGCTGTTACATCGAATTTCAAAAATTTTTGAAAAGTTTTAATAGCTGAATCAGTAAAATACTGAGAATTTCTATTACTTAACTTTAAGATTCCTCCAGCCTGTTACCACAATTCTCCCAGCCCACTGCTGAACTCATAACTGGGCAAAAGAGAACAATGATCTTTGCAAGAATTAGAAATGAAAGAAAAAGTGATTATTTATCCACAGTTTAATATATAAAGCAGATACTCTAGAGAAATATCTATGAACATTGTAAACTTACCAGCAGCAAGATTCAGTATTACAGAAGTTCAATCTTGTATGTGGAAGAATGAGAGGAAGAGAGACATCCAACTAAAGTTCAGCCTAGCAAAGTGGAAGACAGGACCTGTGTTGAGGATGGACTCCCAAGTCAAGAACAAAAATAATGCCAGCGGTCACTGGAATGTGAAAGCAACACTCCCAACCTTTTATGGCTGGGAAGGCTGTTAAAAATAGCAATTGCAAAGAGGGAGATAGAGCCCTCACTATCTCTCTGCAAATATATGATGACAGCAGCTTCAAGCTACAACTTTTCTGTCTCCAAATCATAACTAAATCCTTCCTGACAGCTCAGAAATGATGTAAATGTGGTTGTGCTACTGAAATACAAATGGATTAACCAAAGAAATAATAGTACTTTTTTCCACAAGTCTAATTTAGAAATATATTAGCACATCCATCCAGAAAAGAAATTGATTTCAGCTAAACCAATTAGTGGCAAATATCTACTGCTCCGTTCACAAACAAGGGAGATGCCAATGTTGGGAGATTGTGTGTTGCCACAATGTTGTGGGGTTCCTAGTTATCTCAGAAAGCAGAACCAATTAACTCTGATGTTAATTGACTTGACACCTGCACTAGAGGAAGTGCTGTGATCATTGTTTTTGCAGTGCCTCCTCAAGTGCTGCAAGACAGTGCGGATTCCCTCCTCCCAAGATGTCATGGTGCCTTGGTTTCCCCAATTCCTGCCAGCGACACAGATGAGCAGCTTTGGCACTCCTCTAACAGTGGTTTTCTTGCTTTTCTTTTTCTCCGTCCCTCATTGTGTAAAGCTGAGCCTGCAGAGGGAAGTGCGGGATGGGCATGAAGTGTTGGCTGCCTTCTGTTGTGGGTATTCTGCTACTAGTTGGTTGGACAAAAAGCTGGCCAGCAGAAGGAGGGGAAGGGCAGGACCATTGCTTGGCACTATGTAGTAGTGCAGAAATGATCATTTCAGTGATGGGGCAAAGCCAGTGGCTTATAGAACAGGGCTAAAACAAAGCCCCTGGTATGGGTTTTAATTTTTTTTTAAAGTTTTTTTCTCCAGTTTGAAAGCTGAGGTTCAAAATATCTATTAAGATAAGGTTCTAAATTCAGATCATAGTCTCAAGTAAAACAATTCCATTAGGAATAAAAACAAATCTAGAAGCCCAAAACCAAAGATTGGCTGGTGCATTTGTCACTATGCAAAATCCAGCTATTGTTTCTTAAATTTTGTCTCAGAAGGATTTATCTAGTATTATTTTCTAAAAAGTCAAGTCCAAGACAGCTTGACAGTACCTCCTAACTATAGATCCAGAAGACATCCTCTGTAGGACAGAGACATTGTAGTAATATTGTAATTATGATGATAATCATCATTATCAATTTTTTTTTACTGCTTGATTAAATATGTCATGGTACTATGCTGCACTGATCACAGAAGCAATATGCAAGATGAGCCTTTATGACATTTTTAAGACCAGATAGTTTAAAAACTTACACCTTTCCAGCTCACTTTTGATATTTCCTAGGCTCTATTATTCCTGTGCATAGCTTAGACCAGTGTTTCTTAAAGGGTGGTCCTAGGACTCCTGGGATTCCCCCAAGACCCCCTCGGGGTCCTCGAAATCAAATTCATTTGCCAGATATTGAAGATATTTGCAAAAAATTAAAACAATAATGCTCTTCTCATTATTTCTATTTGTTAAAAAATATAAAGTTTTTTTCATGAAAAATATTTTATTTATGTTAACATTTAATGGATTTAATATTGCTATTTTTACATGACCCAGTAAATAAATATTCTATGAATGCATCAATTTTAATTTTTAATATGATAAACGCTGATAAATATAACCCATACAAACAAAAGCTCTTTTAGGGTTCTCAATATTTTTTAAAAGTGGGAAGGGGTCCTGAGACCATAAAGTTTAAGAAACACTGACTTAGACCATTTTCTATCTAGCAATTTTTTCCTTCATTTTCTGAAAAATGAAATTAAAAACTGTGCTACTCCTTATATTCCATCCATTGCAAACAGAGGCACTAGGAACTTAAGGAACTGCATGACTATTCTCACTTTCTAGCACCTTTTCTTGGGAAATGAGAGTTCATCCTCTGACATTTCTAGGATGAAGGGTAGAACTATCCTTTCTCCTTGGCCCATTGCCAAGTGGGCACTCACTGCTTGTTAGCCGTTTGAGGTAGACCAAACTAGACAACCCAAGTTATGAATGCTAGAACTACTTTTATTATATGGTTACAGTAACAGAATCTTGCAAGTCTGAATGCGCCTCCCCTCTCCATCTTTTTTTCTTTGTCAGCACTAGGGAGCATCAAGTCTGAGACATTTTCTCAAATTATACTTCTGCTTTGGATTCAAATTTCTTTCAACTGATCATTGTCTTGGTTGTCATGTTTCATTCAACCCATACATTTCCCGGTGGGCCCCCTTTCAGTTTTTGCACACTCTGGCGAAGCATGCTCTTCTTGCTTTCCCATCTCCTGCCCACAGTACTGCAAAGTTTCCCTTCTTTTTATTTTTTAGGCACCTTTACATTGCAATGTAGAAACATTGTTACCTAATACCTGTGAAGCTGAACTATCAGTTCTTCCTTGTACAAAGTTTTCCTGGACCTATAGAGGAATGTAGGAGCCTGTTCTGCTGCTGCTTTGATTATTGTAGCATCCGAGCAACAATGCTATAGTAAGGGGAAAAAAGAAAAAGAAAAAGGCTGCTTTAATGTCAAAGAGTTAATATGGAAAATATGGAATAGGGGTGTGAAAGGCTCCATGTGTGCAAACATTTGGGAAAGCAAAGGAAAGCACAGAGACTAATAAGGAAAGAAAAAATTCCTAAGAAGGAACCACTGGAGATCATTCCACCTGGGAGCCAACCAGCAAGGCTTGCCTTCCATGCATGAATGGAAAAGATGGAAAGGGCGAGACCCTTTCTGCACCACACCTGCCCGTGCTCCATAGCACATGCCCACAGCGCATGCCCACCTCCCCACAACACCTGCCCATGTTCCGTAGCACCTGCCCACAGCACCCACCCACCCCCCAGAGCACCCACCCACGCTCAGTAGTGCCTGTCCACAGCACTTGCACTCCAGATTGCCTGCCCGTGGCACCTGCCCACCTCCCCACAGCACCTGCACACCTGCCCGTGGGACCTGCCTGCAGCTCTCACCCACCGGCCTGCTTGCCTGGGACTCCAGCCTCTTCACACGTTGCAGTCATGTGAGGTCCCCGCTTAACGACCCACACAGCCCTGGGGTTATGATGGCAACCGGGACTGCTGGGATTGCTGTCACTAAGTGATGCAGTCATGTGACGTTATGCTTAATGATGGAAATTCCAGTCCCAATTGTTGTTGTAACCTGAGGACTGTAGCTGAGTCTCTTTTACTGTGCTTTTAGCAAAACAAACACTGGCCTCTGGGTAAAGCTTTGGGAGTAGTAGTGACTTGGCTAAGGAATGAGTGAAAAATTCTTTGCTGTTTTTCATCTAGCAGCTTTGGGAAGTGAGAATTACAGCAAATCTTTAGGAAATAAGTTGCAGTGAGGCCAATGTACTCAGTTATTGTCTGCCAGGCTGCTTTCTTAGGTCTGCCATATGTGGGCTGCAAAAATCTGGATGACCACTAGATGGGAGCAAAGATAGGCACAGAAAAATAATGCTTAACTAGTGGTTCTCTGGATTTTTGTAGCCCAGATAGGATAACCAAAACCTGACCTACGTAATATTTTACACTAAAAAACAACACCCTTTTAATAATAATAATAATAATAATAATAATAATAATAATAAT